GCCCTCTCCAGCACCATGGGCGTCATGATGGCCCTGGTGTCCTTCCTGGAGGCTGAGAAAAACGCCATCCGGTCCATCCATGCAGGTACCGCCCTGGGGGGGAGTGGGACAGGGCGGGTGTCACGGCCTGCCCGGCGCCGTGCCCCTGCCACCGTGGGCCACGTTAGCTGTCCCCAGGGGCAGATTGGTTGCTGGGGGGGAGGCTGCAGCCTGGCTCCCCATTGCAGCCCCAGGGAGCCAGGCTTTTACAGGTCTGTCCCCGGCCCCCCCGGGGAACTCCCTCCCAAGCAGATGGCTACAAGGTGGTCTTTGTGCGGAGGAGCCCGCTGGTGCTGGTGGCAGTGGCGCGGACCCGGCAGTCGGAGCAGGAGATCGCCCACGAGCTGCTCTACATCTACTACCAGATCCTGAGCCTGCTCACCTGGACCCAGCTCAACCACATCTTCCAGCAGAAGCAGAACTATGACCTGCGCAGGCTCCTGGCCGGCTCCGAGCGCATCACTGACAACCTGCTGGACCTCATGGCCCACGACCCCAGCTTCCTCATGGGCGCCGTGCGCTGCCTGCCCCTGGCCGCCAGTGTCCGGGACGCTGTCAGCACCAGCCTCCAGCAGGCCAAGGCCAAGAGCCTGGTCTTCTCCATTCTTCTGTCAGGGAACCAGCTGGTGTCTCTCGTGAGGAAGAAGGATCAGTTCCTCCACCCCATTGACCTCCATCTGCTCTTCAACCTCATCAGCTCTTCTTCCTCCTTTCGGGAGGGCGAAGCCTGGACTCCTATTTGTCTCCCAAAGTTCAACTCCAGTGGCTTCTTCCATGCCCACATCTCCTACCTGGAGCAGGAGATGGACCTGTGCCTCCTGCTGGTCTCCACCGACCGCGAGGACTTCTTCACCGTCTCTGACTGTAAGCGGCGCTTCCAGGAGCGTCTGCGGCGGCGGGGGGTGCACCACGCTCTGCAGGAGGCCTTGCGCACCCCCTTTTACAGCGTCGCCCAGGTGGGCATCCCTGACCTCCGACACTTCATCTACAAGTCCAAGAGCTCCGGGCTCTTCACCAGGTGAGGCCCCCAGGGAACCATCGGGCCAAGGCCGTGGAGTGGGGCGTGGGGCAAACCTTCTCCACGAATCCTCTTCTCCTGGGGGCTAATGGGGTGCTGTGTTCCTGCAGCCCTGAGATTGAGGCACCCTACGTGCAGGAGGAGGAGAAGGAGAGGCTCTTGGGGCTCTACCAGTACCTCCACAGTCGGGCTCACAACTCTTCACGCCCCCTGAAGAACATCTACTTCACAGGCCCCCGTGAGAACCTCCTGGCGTGGGTAAGGGCTGTCTGCAGGGTTTGGGTGAGCCCATCTTCTCCGGTACTGCATGGTGGAGTAAGGGGGTGGTGGCACAACGCAGCACCAGCTTCATGGTCCCCAGGGTGGCCCCCAGGCCGTGCACGGTCCTTTTGTGGGTGAGCCTGCTCCCATGCACCCCTGTCCCAGGGAGGGACGGGCAGGGATAGCAGCAGGAGCTGGTGAGCTCCAGCACCAAGGGCTGTGCCATGCGCTGCCATGAACTCCCCAGTGCCACTGAGAAAACCCACCCTGGTGTTTGATCCTCCCACTTCTGAGAAAACCCCATTTAGGGTACCCCGCTGCCACCACATGTCCCTGCACTGGAGCCACTGCGCCTGTTTGCAGTAGCCCGTGGAGGGAAGATGTGGTGCCAGCCCCAAGTGGGGCACAGACGTGTTCCCAGCATGTACCCTTCTTCACCCAGGTAACCAGCGCCTTCGAGCTCTACATATGCTACAGTCCCCTGGGGACCAAGGCTGGCGCCATCAGTGCTGTCAACAAGCTCATGAAGTGGATCCGCAAGGAGGAAGACCGACTCTTCATCCTCACGCCCCAGACGTACTGATAGGCATTGCCCAGGGCATGGTGCCAGCTGGGGGAGCCCCTGCTGTGCCAGGGAGCCTGTCCCCTGGGGAATCCCGGGCTGTGAGTCCAGGGGAGGGCATGGTGGGACTCCAGAGTGTGGGGAAACCCACCCATAGGACTGTCCAGCCTGGGTGTTAGAGATGGGGTGCACAGCTGCCAGGGGAAGGGGTGAGCAGGACTTTCATTTGCAGGCAATGCCCCCAGCTGGGGGGGCTGCCCTTCCTCTGCAGCCCCCGGCTCCATCCCTCATTGTGGGGGTCTTGGAGTGGGGCTACTGGTACCCCGGGTTGCTGGAGGAGAGCTGAGACCGTGGGACCTGCTGTCTGTGCCTGGCACCCTCCTTTCTCTGCCATCCTGCAGCTGTGCCAAGGGTGGGGGTCCCCGGGGGAGAATGTGGCAGCACTTGGAGGACCCCTGTGCTGCTGTGCCCACAGATGGTGGGTGACACCACCCAGGTGGAGGACAGGGCTGGCCTGGGGCATGCACGGCTGCTCTCCCTGCCCTGGGGGAGCCAGGCCCCCCAAGTGCCAGGTAGCCCCTGGCAGTCCCAAAGCCCTGCCCTGGCAGGTTTGTCCCCTTGGTATCTGCGTGAGCCTGGACCCTTCCCACCGTGGCCTTGAGAAGGTTGTCCCTGGGGACCCTGGCAGGCAGGGTGGCGGGTCAGCCTGGCCCGGCTGGGACAGCAGGGTCCTGCCCACCTTCCCATGGGGATACAGAGCAGCCCCAGAGAGACTTGGGGTACTGGGGTGCCCATCGGGGTGCTTGTGGGCTCATGGTGCTGGCTCTGGGCAGCGGACCCTAAAGGGGATGCTCAAGCACAGCTCCCTGGAGACCCCACTGGCATGGGGCCCTGGTGCCCCTCCAGCCCCAAGGAGGGTCTTCCCCTTGACACAGGGGTACCTGTCCCCCAAATCCAGCCCCTCGAGCCAGCTATGCTGAGCTTGCTGCGTGGGGGCTACCTCCTCCCCGTCGGTCCCCAGGCACTGGTGTGGGGCTGAGCACCTGTGAATGCACAGCGGGCACAGGCCGACCCCACGTTTTGGGGCTGTCAGCCGAGCACTGGGATGGGTGTTTGAGGAGGGGCAGAGCCACCAGGGTGGCACCCACACACCGAGGGAGCTGGGAAGGACCTGGCAGGGCTAGCGCAGGGACTCTGCTCCTGTATTTATGCTCCTGCCAGAGTGTAATCGCTTGTCTTTTGCTCATAAACATTATCTGGACCCTAAGTCAAGTCTTGTCATGTTCATGGGTGTCCACGTGGGGGGAGCCAAGCTGGGGGGGAAGTTTGGTCCAAGTTTGGGCATGATGCAGTCCAACCCCGGGGGCCTGCTGGGGGCCGGGAAAGCTGACAGGGAGCAGTGCAAGGCAGCCGGGGCTGTGCTGGCAGGAGGCAGAGCTGGCTGGAGGGTGGGAGTGGTGAAAACCCTGGGACAAGCTGGCCAGGGCCAGATAATGTTGAAACTGAGCGGGAGATGGAGGAAGGAGCTGTTGGGTAAGGCGTGGGGCCAGCGTAACTGCCGGGCCTTGCACAACGTGGGGCGGGAGCCTCGGAGGCCTGAGGCTGGCCAGGTGACAAGGGCAGGGGAACCCGTTTTCTTTCGGTGTGTTCAGCCCCTCCTGGGACCAAAGTCCCCCCGACAGCGCGAGGCAGCACCCTGCTCGGCCGGAGGAAAAGTCTGTGTGCGCAGCTGAGGCTCCACAGCCCTACTGCCCGAGGGCAACAGGGCACCGGGAGGACAAATCCATGTGGTGCATCGGGATGTAAAGCATCTTCCTTCATCCCTGGGAACAGCAGCGAGTCCCGGCAGTGCTTGCAGCTCGTGCCACCTCAGGCAGCCCTTGATGAGGGGGGTGAAAAGGGACAGAAGACAAAGAACGGGCACAACAGAAATAACCCCCGTAGCTCTCCTCACAAAGCTGTGGCTGCCCTGGCCCTGCTCTTGCCCCCCGGCTGGAATCCCCGGTTCTGAGCCTGCTGTGCTCCCAGGAAGGCCGCCTCGCCGGCCTGGAAGTGAGTGGCAAGCATGATACCAGCACGGGCGGCTTCGGGGAAGCTGCGATTTCATGTGTCGGGGTGTCAACACGGGTGGCCCTGGGCCCGAGGGCTGCGGCAGAGGGGCCAAAGGGTGCCGACACGCCCGGACCCCACACGCACCCTGGGATGCTGGCAGCCGTCTCTCAGCCCTGGGGACCCTCCGACGGCCACCCGGTTGGCGCTGGCCCGCCAAGGCATCGCGCCGTGTCCCGACCGGGGGCCTCCGCCTCTCACCCGTGTCCCTTTTGGGCACCGTGCCCACCCAAGCTCGTCCCCCCGGGGTGCCCAGCGAACCCTCCGGGCACCTCGGCACCGTATGCTTCCCCCGGGCTCCCGGTTCCCCCGGGTATCCCCGTCCCCCCGGGCTGCGAGTGCCGGTGCCGGCCCTCGGGGAGCCCCGCAGGGCCCGGGGGCAGGGCCCTGGCCCGCCCCG